CTAGTTGGACACATTCCTGGAGATTAGCTGATGAGATATATGATTATGAGACTATGTAGTCAGGTGACAGTTGCAAATGTATTGTGAAGGTTAGTTTTGTTGTCCTTGAGTGCTCATTGCTTTGGTTATGTTCCCACATCCACTTGAACGCTCCTGGCTGTTGCTTGGATATAGTGAACAGCTCTACAAAACTTTTCTTCTAAAGAGTCAAATATTCTGTGAGGGAAAGGCTGAAAGGCGAGCTGTAACCAGTTGGGAGTGCTCACACATCCTTTGTCTTTCTCTCTCCCTCTCTCATTGACTCAGGCATGTAAAGATTGTCAAAAAGAAACAAAAAACAGAAATTGCTGGAAAAACTCAACAAGTCTGGCAGCATCTGTGGAGAGAGAAACAGAGTTAGTGTTTCGGGTCTGGTCAGGACAGACATTAACTCTGGGATAGTAAGAATTGCCAATGTTAGAGTCTAAGATAATAAGGTGCTGGAGGAACACAGCAGGCCAGGCAGCATCAGAGGAGCAGGAAAGCTGACGTTTTGGGTCTGGAGCCTTCTTCAGAAATAGGGGAGGGGAAGGGGGCTCTGAAATAAATGGGGGGGAGCGGTGATAGCAGGTAGATAGTGGAACAGATAGGTGGGAGGGAAGACGGACAAGTCAAGGAGGCAAGGATGAAGCTAGTAAAGGTGAGTGTAGGTAGGAAGTTGGGATGGAGATTGGTCAATGAGGAGGGAGGGGCGGGTAGGTGGGAGAGAAGACGGACAGGTCAAGAAGGCAAGAATGAGAGGGGGGCTGATCTTCGGATGAGGTCGGGGTGGGGAGATTTTGAAGCTCGTAAAGTCCACATTGAGACCATTGGGTTGTAGGGTTCCAAGGTGGAATATGAGGTGCTGTTCCTCCAGTTTTCGGGTGGCATCATTGTGACACTGGAGGAGGCCCAGGATGGACATGTCGTCCAGGGAATGGGAGGGGGAGTTGAAGTGGTTCACAACTGGGAGGTGTTGTCGTTTGTCGTGAACCAAGCATAGGTGCTCCACAAAGCAGCCTCCGAGCCTTCATTTGGTCTCCCCAATGTAGGGGTGGCCACATCGGGAACAGCGGACACAATAGACCACATTAGCAGATGTGCAGGTGAACATCTGTTTAATGTGGAAGATTTTCTTGGGGACTGGGATTGAGGTGAGGGGGGAGGTGTAGGGGCAGGTGTAGCACCTCCTGCAGTTGCAGGGAAAGGTGCCGGGGGTGGTGGGGCTAGTGGGGAGTGTGGAGCGGACGAGGGAGTCGTGGACAGAGCGGTCCCTCCGGAAGGCAGATAAGGGTGGGGAGGGAAATATATCCTTGGTAATGGGGTCAGATTGCAGGTGGTGGAAGTGGCAGAGAATGATGCGTTGAATCCGGAGGTTAATGGGATGATACGTGAGGACAAGGGGAATTCTGTCTTTGTTTTGATTCCAGGGAGGGGGGTGTGAGGGCAGACATGCGGGAAATGCAAGAGATGGGTCGAGGGCGTTTTCAACCACTGAGCGGGGGGAAATTGCAGTCCTTGAAAAACGAGGACATCTGCAATGTCCAGGAGTGGAATGCCTCATCTTGCGAGCAGATGCAGCAGAGGCGAAGGAATACAAATGCTGCCAGACCTGCTGAGTTTCTCCAGCACATTGTGTTTAAGTCAATGACTTTGTATGGTGTGAACCAATTGCTTGGACAGTTGCTTGGTGCCCCCTCTAAGCAAGTGAAATACTTTGGGAGAAATTGACAAACTGCAAGTACTGGCAAGCAAAAGAATTATCTCAGCAAATCCCTGTGGACATGAGCGATTGAATTTCCCTCCACCACAATACCAATGTTTCGTGACTGTCTGCATGTGTGTAGGGGATGAGTTTGATAAAGGAGGTTAGAGGTTTAATTGTAGGGTTACATGATAATAATAATTCTTAGTGAGTACAGAATCCTGGTCCATGCTTTCAGTTAACTCGAGTGTAACAAGACTGATTCATTTAGGATTTTGTGTGCTTTGATAAAAATCTTTAACTTTTGTGACGACTCCAAGAATAGTGGAGCTTCTTTTACAGTGCAGTACGGAAACCCTCTGGCATTGGCTGAAATTTTGGCCTAATTTTCAAATTCCCATATCTATCCACTCCTTTACTATCCAGCATCTTGCTGGTTTACACTTCTTCAGCTTCAACTTCACTTCTTTGGGTGGGTGGCACAGTGCCTCATTGCTGCCTCACAGTGCCAAGGACCTGGGTTCAATTCCACCCTCGGGCGACTGTCTGTGTGGAGATTGCACGTTCTCCCCGTGTCTGCTTGGGTTTCCTCCGGGTGCTCCAGTTTCCTCCCATAGTCCAAAGATGTGTAGGTTAGGTGGATTGGCCATGGGAAATGTGGGATTATGGTGTTGGGTAGAGGAATGGGTTTGGGTAGGGTGCTCTTTGGAGGATCAGTACAGACTTGATGGCTAAATGGCCTCTTTCCGCACAGTAAGAAATCAAACACAAATAACTCATCATTTAACCACTATCGTTATCTTCCCTCTGTACTCAGTTCTCTTCACAATTTCTGCTTTTTAAAAACTCCAGAAAGCAAATTTTCTTCTGTTGCACCTTTCATTTCCCTAACTACTAGTTTATTTTTAAACTTACTGTCTCCTGATTATTGTTTTGCACTCATTAATGTAAGGAAATTTGAACTGCATGCCTACGTAACGAGTTCTGTAGAACTGCAGGTTGTTGATTAATTGTTTTAACAGAATAAAACAAAACAAAACAGCAGCAGCAAAAATAAAATACTGCAGATTCTGGAAATTTGAAATAAAATGAAAAAAAAGTGCTGGAACTGCTCAGCAGCAGATCAAGCAGTGTCGTTAGAGAGAAAAAAAGTTATGTTTTCGGGTCTGTAATCTTTCACTTATAAGCCTATCTATATTGATTTGTGTTTGAAAGAAATTATAATTAACTCTTGATGTTTATACTAAGCCTCTTCATTTTTGAGAGTTTGTACCTGATCTACGAGGTGGTAGCAACGCAGTCCTTCTCTGATTATCCCACATGAAAGAACAAAACACTGGATACCCAAAGTGTGTGAAGAAAGGATCAGATACTTTGACTCCTTCTGAAGGAATCTTCTAGTAGCTGTTAACTGACCAGTGTAGGGGTTGTTGCAATCATTCCCCTGCCTCCCTCCCTAAAGGACCCACAGAGGAAGTTTTGCTCAGTCAGATCCTGCAGCACATATAGTTTTGGGGAGGTTGCTGTGGGATGAGTCATTGGGCCTGACCTCCTGCCTCACTGGTTAAAGCAGTTAAACCCCTCCAGAGCTGACTATGTGGCAGAGTCAGGGTCTGTACAGAGGAAGGTGGAGTCCTGAGGGTTTGTAACAGAGGAAGGTGGAGTCCTGGGGGTCTGTGACAGAGGCTGCATCCATGGTGGTGTTGGCATTAGGATGCAACTATCAATATCAGACTCTCTCTCTCTCAGCAGTCTGGAGAAGTCTCAGTTTCCAGCTGAGTTGCTGTGACCATCCCCACCCCAGTTCCACTGTCCGTCTCCAAGGGGCATCCTTCACCTCCCTATGCTGCCTGTAACCACTCACTGTCTTTCAGTCTCTGCGTTACTGCTGCTGGCTTCCAAACACATGCACTCTCCAGCCGCCTCAACATAACCCTGTGTGTGTGAGACTGTTACAGAGATAGTAGGAACTGCCGATGCTGGAGAATCTGAGATAACAAGGTGTAGAGCTGGATGAACACAGCAGGCCAAGCAGCATCAGAGGAGCAGGAAGGCTGACGTTTCGGGTCTAGACCCTTTTTCAGAAATGGGGGAGGGGAAGGGGGTTCTGAAATAAATAGGGAGAGAGTGGGAGGCGGATAGAAGATGGATAGAGGAGAAGATAGGTGGAGAGGAGACAGACAGGTCAAAGGGGCGGGGATGGAGCCAGTAAAGGTGAGTGTAGATGGGGAGTTAGGGAAGGGATAGACTGTGCTCCCTTGGGAATAGCTGCTACCACATCTCACTCAGACACATTATCACTGGTGATGTGTTTCAGACCCCTCAGGAAACTGTACGTTACAATGTCAAGCTACCGAGAGTGATGGCAGAAGCTCTGACATTTCTTGCGTGACACAGTTGCCAGGAATATCTCCAACAGGTGTTGCAAGGATTCACTTCATCTGTTTGGCCACTTCACAAATGTACCATCCTTAACCATCAAGCGGGAATGTTGGGGTAAGGACCTAAGACCCTGGAACAACTTTGCAATGATGTCACGGAGCTGTCCTTTGAACAGAAATAGCAGAGTGGGTGGAGTTTGAACTCTCTAGAAAGAGTTAAGTTTGAAAACTCAACAATGCCCGCTCAAAACAAACCCCTCTGATGCTGCCTGGCCTGCTGTGTCCCCCCAGCTCCACACTGTTGTCTCTAGGTTTGAAAACTTACTTTGTAAGGCTCTATTTAGTATCAATGCATCATAAATAGTGTTACTTTGAAGTCTAGGACTGACTTTGCCTCCTCCTCAGTGTGACTTGAGCCAACCTTGTAGTGTGGCATTAAACCACACAATAAAAGTGGGAATCCAATAAAAAAAGGGGTATTTTTGCCGAAACAATGAGATCTTCAGGTCTCGCATTTCACAAATGCCAATGGGATTGGCATGTCCCCTCATTGACAATGCTGGTTTTGGAATTCGGGGAACTGGATATTGGAATTGCGTCGATATTTGCAAACCACACTCTGGAACAGTTGGGTACTCATTGATTAAAGCCCATGTGCCAGTGGGAAAGGGGGATAGAATTTCTGAGAGTATTTTAAATTCTGATTTCCAGAGAGCACTGATGCCCTCTGTATAGTACAGTAGGGAGACATAATCAATATAAATCTAAAACTCATTGATTAGCTTGGCTTGCATCTAGTTCTCACCAATAAAATTAAATGATGTTAAAATGGCGAATATTAGTTTGTAAAGCAGTTGGTCCAAACTGAAAATCTGCCTTAAAAAAGCAGACGTCATTTCCTCTGCTATGTGCCAGAGATTTCCCTCTGTAACTATAGAGCCAGTGCTTTAAACTTTCTGCAGGGAGGCGAAAGTTTGTTGTGGGACACGTGCAAATGAGAGGAAAGCAGGAGCGATGTTCCCCCGGCTTGGCTGATTTTCCTGCATTCTGAGTCTCCCCCAACTCTCTCTCACACACACACACGTACATATTCCCACCTTGAAAGAAATGGTCGGTGGAGATGGGACTGTGCCTGGGATCCGAGAGTACTGCCGAGGAGCGACAGGCCCGGCTCCGCAGTGAAAAGATTGACCGTGTACTCTGTGAATATGCCAAGCAGGAGCAGAACGTGGTGAAAATTCTGCTGCTGGGTCAGTAACAGATTTTAGTCTCTTTATTTCTACTCGAGTTGTGACTCAGAGAGGGGTTCACCTGAGCTGGTTACCCGGCTGTTTCTTAATTATCAAGTTACAGCTTTTTTCCCTCTCTCTCTCCTCACAGATTATGATGAGAGTTGCCTAAAATGTTTAATGAAGTTTTCTCCCCTTCAGAACAAAAGTAGAAATCTTCTTGTTAGCTGCTTGTTCAGATTGGGCTTTTTTTTTCCACCCAGCGTGTAGATGCGAGTTATCTCCCTGTGTTTAAATAACAGTCTGTGCTCCTCTTGAGCCAGTTACTGGCGTGGGGTAGCTCCAATCAGTGGATATGTTCCAGTGGAGTCTTCCTGTGCGTTCCTTTTGACAAATATCCCTTATTTTTTAAAAAGAAAAGTCGATAAACGTTGTTTCTTTCGTTTAAGACCTAAACTGTATCAGTTTTGTAAAACCAGATTGTGTAGACTCGTTTTTCTAAAAATAAGAACGGTAAATAACGAGACCCTTTGTCTGTCCCAATTAAACACGGACCAAACTGTCTAAAGAGCGTGACTCCTCACGCTATGTCAGGCTGAAAGGAGAAATTTTTTGAGTCCTTCTCTAACCACTGCGCATAACTACTTATTTCGAATGACTATTTTAATCCCATTGGCTGTGCGTGATGATAAACAGCCTAGACAATAAAGCTTGCATTCAATATGCTAAAAATTGGCCAAAACTAAAATGGGTGGGAAAAATTAAAATGGCTTTGTCTAGTAAGTTTCTGTTAGACGTTCTAATTGGTTTAAAGAAATTAAACAGTAAATAGATCAAAGAAATAAAATGTAAACCAGTGATGTGGAAGGAAAGGTGGAGGACCTGAATTTATGAGATTGTGTTTATTTTTAACATTTTACAACTCTTTTTCTTTTTGTGTGTATTTGACTATTGTCCTCTGATTGTCAGAGATAAAGCTTTTCCTAATCCTGACAAACAGAAATTGCTGGAGAAACTCAGCAGGTCTGGCAGCATCTGTGGAGAGGGAAGAACAAAGAGTTAACATTTCGAGTCCGGTGACCCTGTTTCCCTCTCCACAGATGCTGCCAGACCTGCTGAGTTTCAGCAGCAATTTCTGTTTTCATTTCAGATCTCCAGAATCCGCTGTTCTTTGTTTTTATTTTCCTAATCCTATCGCCTGAGCAGGTTGTATTTTTGGTGAGCACTTATCACATGTTGGCAATTGTAGTGATTAAACAGAGACCCATCACACCTGCACGTTCAGTGGCTTGCTGTCGTACTGGAAGAGGCAACTGTATTGTTCGCTAATTACAGACAAGCAACGTCTTCGATTTGTTCCCCATTCTGTGTTGAGTCAGGCCATCTCAGATGAGCCATTAGACCTGGAACAGTTGTCATGTTGGGGAGCTTTCATCTTTTTGATTATAACACCTCCTGCAACATGTACAATGTCAGGTATGGGCACAAACATCCTGTGTCGTGCTGCCTATGTGTGGCCAAATAGTCAGTGGTTAGGTTAATGCCTGAGGAGTGGGCACAATGGTTGAGTTGCTAGAAGGTTTCAAGAACAGGCAGAACCTGACTTTGAATGTTGCCCGCACTTGCATTGCAACTTCTCTCTTTCTGTCTCTCCAGAATCTTGGAGACTGACCCTGCCTGAAGTTCAGTAATATCTTTAAGAAAACCTGTGATCTAGTGGCTTTCTGTATTCTCTTTCTTCCTCAGAGCTTCTCCCTGTGTTATCATCAATCACATGGACTTTGTATCCAGGTGGAAATGTTTGCTCCAACTCCTCTCTAAAATTAAGTGGACTGTTTAAAGTGTAACTATTCACAAAATCTAATGTTCTTAACACCTCTGTAGCACTTGCACAGCTGCTCAGACTGACCTTTACAGGTGAGAGTATCTTGTACTTCTTTCCAAGTCAGGCAACCTGCCCCCTCCCCCACCAACTTTAACTGTTACAAACCAAACCCTCAGGCTCACTGTCAGCAGAATTCAGAAAATGTCACACGATTCCTCCATTCATCAATTTTACTCTTAAAAACTGTTTTACAAATGAGAGATTTTTAAAATTAAATGTTGACAACTGTCAGGCTCCTTAAAAATAAATCTGCTGTGGAACCTAGGAGTTGTCTTTTCCCAAATGAACCAGTAATTTGTGAGGTTTTAATTTTAAGAAAACAAGGGATATTGCAACAAACTAAAGCAGATGTTGCTGGAGAAACTCAATCGATCTAGCAGCATCTGTAAAGAGAAAACGGCTAATATTTCAAATCCAAAACTGAACGCAACTAGGTAAAGGTGATATGTAGGGACAACAAGATGCAGGGCTGGATGAACACAGCAGGCCAAGCAGCATCATAGGAGCAGAGAGGCTGACGTTTCGGGCCTAGACCCTTCATGATATATATGCTGATGATGAGGTGGGGGAGGTTGTGAGCTGGGGGTTTGAAAGGAGTGAGTAATAAATCGAGAGAAAGCTCAGAGAGAGAAGAAGGGTAGGCAGACAAAGGGATTGTTGATGGTAAGTCAGGGAAGAAGAGAAGCTGGAGAGCTAATAATGGGGACTGTGAGTTTTTGTAAATGGGTTAGCTGTACTGAAAGCAGCCCATTGAGTGACAGGACCTGGAATGTGGGGATAGGTAATAGACATGGAAGGAGGTGTTCATGCTGTAAAATTGTTAAACTTAATGTTGAGTCCTGAAGTCTGTCATGTCCCAAGGTGTTGTTCGTCTAGCTTGTATTGAGCCTCGCTGGAGCACTGCAGCAGGCCTGTGGTGGGCTGTTGCGAATGATGACTGATCAGGATTGAGGGCTGGCTCCTGTGTCATGATCTTGTGTTCTGCATTCCAGGTGCAGCAGAGAGTGGGAAGAGTACATTGGTAAAACAAATGAAGATTATTCATAGTCATGGTTTCACTGAAGAAGAACTTATAAGTTTCAAGGTAACCTTTTCAAAACGTTTAATTGTTAAGCAAATGAACTTATGACCAAAGAGGAGGAGTGAGCCATTCGGCCCCTGAAGCATGCTCTGCCATTCAATCAGATTATGTCTGATTTAATTGTAGCCACGGTTCGCATTCCCAGCTACCCTGGTAACCTTTCACCCCTTGCTTATCCACTTTTGCTTTAAAAATATTGAAAGACTCTGCTTCCACTACCTTTTTCAGGAAGAGAGGCCCAAAGCTGATTTTTTTTTAAATCAGCAAGATTAAAGGGATACTGTCTCACATATATTGTTAGTCCCCTGCCTTTCTACAGTGCTCCTGTTTTTTTCGGAACCAGTTCACTTAGCATTAAAACCTGGGGTGGTTATCATTCTTATGTAATACTTAATGCTTTTTAAGTTGGTTATGTCTGATTAAAGCAATAAAGTCACTCCCCTAGGATCACAGATAATAAAATTTGAGTGAAACTTATACATTAGGCTTTATGCTAATTATTAGTTCTACAGTTCACTATACAAGTTTGCAATGAGATGGAAAAAATACCTGTCAGCTGATTACTGAATGGCATTGGATGTTTCTGACAAGTAGGCTGATGTTCTCATTACCTTTCAAAGGATGGGTGTAGGGAATTTAATATACCAGTGATGTCTGTGATTGGTTTGTGCAAAACTTCCATTTCCAAATAGAAGCTTATGCAATGGACAGAGCAGGGAAGAACCCCTGGTTTATTGCATTGCACAAACTTTCTTGTCTGTCTACTTAATGTGTCACAGAAGAGGCAATCCCTGTATTTCAACTGTTTTAATGCTTGGATTAGGGGAATGAATCATTGTTCACTCGGGAGTGGAACAAGGTTGTGGCTTGTCCTCTATACTGTGAAGCAGAGACTTAATAGTTTTGTTGATTTTCATTGGTAGGTTCTCCAAGTCTGTTTTTACATCATTTGACATTGCTTCTTCATGCCTTGTATTTGAAAACTGGCAGTTTGCTTCTTGTTGTTGAACTCAGTCTATACTTTTATTGAAAGCTGGTAGTGGGTGTGAAAGTGAATAAATGGGCATGTTGCTGTTCCTATAAATCATGGAGCTGCATCAATGAATTTCACCCAATTTAGTTGGCGCGCCTCCTATGTGCTGCTTCATCTCCTCAGCAATCACTCACACTCGGGATGTTGTGCAGCTTCCTACCGTTGTTGGAATGTTATGGGGTCTTTCGTCTACACTAAGTGACCAGAATTCCCTCTCCTTTTTAAATTGCAAACTCCTCTACCCACCCACCTCCTCTATGCCCCCATCTGAGGAGGAAACCATGACCATATGTTACGTTTAATTTATTGTTTTAATGACAGTGTCACTCACTTACCTTTTTGTACGTAGAAAAGTTTCTCTGTGACCTCACTCGTCTGAGTGAGCTCTTGGGCTATCACCATTAATGACTTGGCTCAACGAATGGAGTTCTGTATCCAGATTTTCAAATGACACTGAGTTAAAGCCACAGTAGGTTACTGAGGGATGTAGAATAAGTGAATGGACCCAGTTGCAGTAGGGTTTAATATTCAATATGTTGAATTGTAATGTCTCCCATTATAGATCTGACAATGCCAAATTGGAATTTTTACTTCGTGCTATGAGACTAGCAGGTTTGTAGGGGTAAAGAGATTTGGGTATTCATGTATGCAAACAAAAAAGTGAACTGTGCAAAAATACTAATGGAACATTGGGCTTTATCTAGAGGTGATTGTCCGCCTCCTTGTTGTGTAGGTAAATATCTGTCAGGATTTTGTTTTAAAAGATGTTAAAGAACCTTTAAGGAATATCTTTCAGCAACAAAAGTTTAGTTATCAGTTTAACTTCAGGAGTCCATGCTTGAAAGAGAGAAATTGTGAACATCCACTCCGAACTTTTTAATTGACTTGAATGTCTGCCCGAGATCAAAACGAATAATCTCTCCTTGGGAAGATCTAGCAATTACAGCACATGGTCTTAAAGAATACTGAGAAACAGAATACTGCTCCCCTTGGGTATCTCAATTCTCTCGTCTACTGTGAGCAATCCTGATCAATATTTACCCACTACCCAGATTACCTGGTCATTATCTCACTGCTGTTTGGGGGATCTTGCTGTGAATATTTGGGCTGCTGCATTTTCTCCATTCTCTCCCTATGTGTCAGATAAGTCTTTTTTTTTAAGAAAATCATGCCCTCTGTTAGATTTTTTAAAAATGAATAATGGGTTAAAAGATTATGAAGAGCGGGCAGGGAAGTGGACTTGAGGCAGAGATGAGATCAGCAGTGATTGTTTTGAATGACTCAGTAGACTCGAGGGGCTGAATGGCCTATTCCTGCTCCCAATTCTTATGTTCTGACTCTCCACTACTGCTGTGGACAAAGCTGGCTGCATTGGTCTGGCCATGGGATCGCAAATCAACAAACCAGAAACAAAGTTGTTTTTAATCCCTGGCCTGCTATAGTAGGTTTGAGAATTCCCCGTGATTTCTGGCTGTCTGATTTGGTGTGTTAATGAGCCAGGTTGGGGGAATGGGGGGTGGAGGGGTTGGGGTGGTTTCAGTGGCTAATTTGCTGCTTTGAAATGTTTTGTGAGCTTCTAAAGGGAAGTGATTCGATCATCACTGATGGAGCTACTTCATTCAGTATGTAATTCCATTGAATTTTGGGACAGAAAGACAGATGGTTTGACCTAATCAGCCTCTATCATTGTTGATGCTCTCCAACAGCCTTCTCCACTCTGCTTCACCTTCCCTTTACCAGCTTCTCTGCTTTCCTTTTCCCCCAGCCTTAAATGTATTTATACTGTTCACCTCACCTGCCCGCAATGTAATGGCATCCACATTCTTGCCAATCTCTGCGTAACGAAGATTTTCCTCTTGAATTCCCTATTCCCTGCCATTACTTTGCTCTTTTGGGATGAAATCAGGGAAATGGCTTTTCACTATCTACATTATCTCTGTGATAATAATTCCTCTCCTTCTCCCGTCTCTGCCTTCACTATCTCCCACCTTTACGCCTCACCACCAAACCGCACCCCCCCAACTCTGATCTGTGAGGGTCGGATCTTTCAGTGAGAGTGAATAAGTTTTTTTTCATTTGCTTTTGCACCAGGATTAATATCCTTTCTGTTCAGTGTGGAAATCAGGCTGTATGGCACTGATTCTGCTGTAGATAGTCAATATGAATGGAAATGGATTTGTGACTGGGAGTAGTCCTGAACTGTGTATGGAACAGCAGACAGTCAGAGACTTGAGAGGATTAAGGGCCATAACTTGGTAGCTATACCTATCAACTGCTCATGGATCGAACCACAAAGTTCACATCATCTCCTGACTTTATTATTCTCCCTGTGTGTAAGTGTGTGTGTGTGTGTGTGTGTGTCTCTCTCTCTCACTACCTGCTTCTGCGTGCGTGTGTGTGTGTGTGTATGTGTGTGCCTGCCTCTACCTCCAACTGTCAATTCTCAACACGCCCATCCCACTGTACCTGCATCCCTTGACTGACTGTGTCTGACACTAATTCCTGCCACACTTCCCACACACCCCAACATACTCCCCTTGACAACCACACAAAAAAACAAGAGGCTCTTTAACTATGTGCTAAGCAAGTATTAGTCAGAATTTTTTTTTTCTGATGAAGGGTCTAGGCCCGAAACGTCAGCCTTCCTGCTCCAATGATGCTGCTTGGCCTGCTGTGTTCATCCAGCTCTACACCTTATTATCTCTTATATTAGTCAGAATGTGATGGTTTATTTGTGGTATTGAGGAACTTATTCAGCAGCATTCCAAATCATTTTAACCTTCTGACTTTCATCTGTTTCCACTCCTCCTGCCTTGCACAAAGCTATATCAATTGAATTATTTCAGCAATATTGAACTGGCAACTTTGTTTCAAAAGTGATAATAAATACAGTTCATCACGCCTACACGTCTCTGAGGAACGATTACTGGAAACTAAACTTGAAACTGAGCTGCAAATGGAGATATGAGGATACGTGGCGCCCAGCTTGGCTTAAGGGCTAGATCTACAGTGGGAGAGAGAAAGGTCATGAGGTGGAGAGGTTTAGAGGGACATTTAGAAGGAGAGGTACTGTGAGCGTGGGCCAAACACCTGAGGGTACAGCCTTTGTTAATGCATTGGAAGCAGTTCAGAGAAGGTCTACTAGGCTGTATCTGGAATAATCTGGAACAAGAACAGAAGTTGCTGGAAAAGCTCAGCGGGTCTGGCAGCACCTGTGAAGGAAAAA